GGAGTTATCTGCGTGGATAATTTTTTTTTTTTTTTTTTTTTTTTTTTGGATCAGAATCTGTCTACACGTCGTATCGATCAACATATCCGATTAAAAATAAAATAAAATCGATATCTGTCTTAAGTAAATAAATAAAAAGAATTAGAATTGATATGTATTTGTCTACGTTTGTCTGGCTTCCGCGCTGGCTCCTCAGCCGACAAACTACCAAGCTCGGTTGGGGCGTGCTCCAATGCGTCGGGCTCGGGATTGGGTTCATCGTTGGTTATTCATGCTGTCTTGAAGTGTCTTCCATGCTCCTCAGCATTTTTTTTATTTTTTTTATTTTCATTATTTTTATTATTTTTATTATTTTTATTTTTCTGGACATCGACTCTCCGAAGTTGTTCTTTTTTTTTTCTGTTCTGTCTGGGTCGCAGAAGTGCTTTTTTTTTTCTTTTTCGCACGAGTACTTCGTTGGTCACGAGGCGAAATCAAAAGTCCGCATTGGGTGAAGAGGCCTGGGGCTGTGCAAACTTGATTTGTATATTAATAATATTATATAATTTATTTTCTTTTTTTTTTTAAATAATTTATACCAGCCGTGCCGCCCGGGTCACCCTATTTTCCCGGGCGGCCTGGCCGTGCAAGGAATAGGGAAGGTCAAAAAGTCCGAAAAAAACCTATGTTATGCAGAAAAATAAACTGAACAACTTTCGCCTCAGGATTACATCGAAACTCTTTACCAAATTTAAAATAAAATTTTAAATTAAGAAATATTGTTTATTTTTTTATTTTTTTATTTCTTTTTGGCCCGGCCGGGCAAGTGGACCCGGGCCACTCTGGTAGCCTATAATATTATATAATTTATATATATATATATATTTAAATAATTTATATTCTAAGGGACGCTGGACCTGGTGTCCAGCGTGTGCAGCTCCCCACAAATATAGATTGGACCCATCAGAAGGTAAGCACTACCGTCTTCACCCGAATAGAACGCCCGGTCATTATAGCTGTGCATTTGGCCCAGCTTTCAGTCCAGATGCAGCGATAATGACCGGGCGTTCTATTCGGGTGAAGACGGTAGCTGTTGGTGCTCTTATCACCACAGCCACCGGTAGTGGGGACCAAGATGTGAAAAAAAAAAAGAAGAAAAAAAGTCCGCATTGACCGACAGCCAATGTCTGCTCTGTGCTGCGGTTGGGGTTAGGTCTGATGTGAAAAAAAAAAAAAAAAAAGTCCGCATTGACCAACAGCCAATGTCTGCTCTCTGCTGAGGTTGGGGTTAGGTCTGGTGCTCACCCCGGCAGGCCGCAGTTAATAATGCGAGGGACGATCGACCCCTTTCCCGGGATATAATTGAATTCCTTCCTTTTTCTTAAAAATAAATAGTCCGCACTGACGTCATGAACTTCCTTTTTGGTGGGCACGCCTGTGATTTTTTTTAATTCTATTTTTGTCTTTTTTTGCCGTCTTCCTTTAGTGCACAGCGTTTTAGTGTTTCGGGCTTAGGGTCTAGGGGTCTAGGGTTTAGGGTTGATGATTTAGGGTTTAGGGTTTAGGGTTGATGATTTAGTTTCCTCAACGCCTGAATCTGGATGTGTTTAGGGTGTAGGTTCTGGTTGAGCTGTCCTGTTATCTCCATGATCAGTCAGAAAAAAAAAGTCAGTGGGGATTAGGTGACTTACCCTAATTTGATTTGTTCTATAAGAATCTCGTATAGTGCTCTTTTATGTGGGTTATTTAAACTTATTTTATATTTATATTATATATTACATATATATATATATTCAGCCTCCTGATGAGTCGGTGAAACTCCGACGAAACAGTTTGTCACAGCCCCTCGTTTGTTGTCCTCTTCTCCCTCTCTGCCTACGGTTTACCGGGCACTTCTATTTGACGATATATATATATCTATATATATCTATAGATATATAAAATTATGAATCGAGAAATGGTCGCAGTCCTTTGGGACATACATTGAAATTGGAACAAACAAAACGGAGAGGATTTATTTTTATTTTTATTTTTAGCATGGCCCCTGGCGCAAGGATGGCGCACATAAATCGAGAAATGGTCCATATAAAAAAAGTAGAAAAGAAAAAGGAAATCCAGGTTTTAAAATAAAAATAAAAATAAAAATAAAAATGCTTAGGAGGTCCCAGATAACTTAGGACCACTGCTGAGTGGTACCTGGGGCCAATTCCCACTAGCAGCGTGAGTTTCCCGCCAACATGCCTGAATCTGGACGTGTTTATGGAGATGTGGGGTTGAGGAAGGTCAACACGATTTTCTGCACATATCCACAAACACGCCCAAATTCGGGTGCTGAGAAAACTCAACCTGGTAGTGGGACTTGGCCCCTGGTAGCAGATTTAGTTTGGATTGGTTGGCCTCTTCCTTTCTGTTATTGTACC